AAAATAATGACAGTATTACTAGGAATACAGAAACAGCAAGGAGTCTCAGTTACAAGTGGGACAAGGACATCCCTTTGTGTGAGTGAAATAATTATATTTTTTACAGCTCTAATTACTAAACACATCCATCACAATAATGAGATCTAAGCCTTAACTTGCAATTGGACAATTGTATATCGGTGCATGAAGCAAGAGGCGGATCTAATCTACAATAGGTACTATCCAAATCCAATATATTTACGTGAGCATCGTGTCACCTGAATTAAATAGCGAGCCAATGCTTCATTTAGGTTTACACATAAAAAGAACAACATCTTGTCATATAATAAACATTTATCTCAATTTTTTAAAAGTGTTTCGTCACCTAGCAAGACAGCTTCTACAGCTTCACTCCAAATTGACACGATTACAGAAATATTGAGAGTTTAAATGACAGTAGACGTTGTGATTGCGGTCCATTCGAAGAGTCTACATTAGACACATTTTTAAGCACTTACTTCGTGGAGAGAGGAATTCGATGCTAATTTATCAGGTTCAAAGACTTGGGCATCACAGAACACACTGTGCTGCCCACTACCCCTCATGGGTTGCCATTACTGAGGACTGGTGTTATGCGCCTATATTTTGTAACTAACTTAAGGAGTGATTATTAAATAAAAATATGCCTTTACTCTCTTTTTATATATTCATCCAGACAACGGTACACTGTGACATTAATGAATTTAAATATTACAAAATTCAATTGAGAATTTACTATACATGATTGAACGGCCACTAAACAGTATTGTTAATCGAATACTGTTAACTACTTACATATAACTATTACATTGAGAAATATGCTGAATTTAATAATATCGTACTTGATGCAAAAATCGAGAATTTTCAGGACACTTTTAGGACGTCAGGATCATGACCTTAAAATGACTAAAGAATGACGTCGCTTTAAAGTCGTAGACGTCACTATAATTAGTATTAAAATTGCATTTTTGTTTTTAATCTAACACACGTTAACAAGGTTTTAAGACGACAAATAAGTTAACAAGGTTTTAAGTAATCAACACCAACAGAGAAATATTTCAAGTACCCATATTAAAAAATACGGTAAAATGTAAAAATTTCATATAAGCCAAAAACAGATATTTTGCACTGTATGCAGATGCAATACCAACCTTGGTTTCTATAGTTCGGGCTCGGATAACCAGAGGGAGACTTTGTATAAATGTCATTTACTTGGGCACCTCTGTGCCATTCGTGTTTCAACCGTGAAGCAGTTGTGTTTGCATAGCTGTGTTTCGGTTTGAAGGGTGGGTTATGGCAGTGAATTTACAGGGTACAGAGGAATAACACTTTAATCCTCAGTAGTAGCAACGCATGGGGAGTATCATGGGCAAAACAGTATACTCTGTTATGTCCATGGTATTGCTCATGTCTATAAGTGACGGTTACTACTTTCCAAGATGGGCCGTCAGCTCGTTTGCCATACTAAGTTGCATAATAAAACATAGGTAGGTATATTATTATTATAATTACGCTTTCTTAAGTTTACCAAATGTCTTAGTGTTTAAATGTGTCTTAAAGCGCAGTTAATCTCTAGGTACAGAGAGCACCGAAACAAAATCTTAACATAACATGAGTTTCTGAGACCACGTTCAGAGGTACAGTTAATTAGAGAGGGGAGGAAAGCATTGTTAGTAATAAGATCTAACAGGCCCATTACTAACAATATAACCTAACAGGTCGACTTCCACGCGGTCCCCTCTAGTTGTTTCATCTTCTGTCATCCCACACTGGTGCCCCAGCGAAAACCGATAGCACAGACAGGACTACCATTCCATTTTCATCTATTAAAAAAATCAGATTTTACATTCAATAGCAAATACTAGCGAGCACGACATTAAGATAATAAAAACTACTTTTTTAATTTTTAAATTAACGAAATATTAAATGTAGCAAGTAGTAGTTTGATAAGAATGTTAAATTATAACTATTGTATTTAATATTAATACCTTCTACATGGTTCTGTTTTCCTAGTACTTCATTATAATGAATGTAGGCCGATGTGGTGTTATCGCTCTTTCGCAGAAAAACTCGGGATTGTAATTAGATATGGTGGTACAGAGGTAAATTATACCCTAACTTGTTTTTTTAATAGGATACTTTACTGATTCACGCAGGCAAAGTCGAGGGATATAGCTATATAATTCTTAAGTAGACTTCGACCGAGAAATCTACCGACGATTCCAACTCGGCTGAGTTGCGTTTAGAAAACTACGCTACATCTTTATTTCAAAGTTTAAAGAAGGTCTTTAACTAGTGTGTGTCGCCAATAATGACTTATGGAACCGATATTTCGGTTCCATAAGTCAGTCGGTCCTACTCTTTTATGCAAAAACTTGAGGATATTCGCAAAAGAACCGAAGTAACCGCCATAGCCCGAAGGATAAGCAAACTTAGTGGCAATGGGCTGGCCATATAACTCAAAGAATCGGTTCTTCGAGTTATATGGCCAGCCCATTGCAACAGATGGGGAAGAAAGATTTTTAACTGGCGACCTCGTAAAGGTAAACACAGTATAACATGACCTCCCCACTGGATGGAGTGACGTCTTCAAATGCATTATAGGGCGTCAGTGGACGCTGATGGCATAGAACCGTTCTTTGTGACAGTCTATGGCAGAGGCCTGTTTAGCAGTGGACGAATAATGGCTGAGCTGATGATGATATTAATGATTAGACGTGGCTTTGATTCAAATATTCTTACATTATAGGTAACACTTGCTATAGAAATGGTTCTCTCGTATGAGAATGTGCTGGTAAACCGTCACTGTTAGATAAAATTACTATTTATCAGGAAAATAAGCAACATAGATTGTAGTTCCTTTTCAAAAAGTATAGGCTCTATCTGTAAACTACCCAATTTATAGATCAATCGTTGGGCATCCTGGCATCAAAGCTAAGATCTGACAAAAAAATAATAACTTGGACAATAACCGCCACTTTTTTTAAATGTCACACATTATTTCGACTATTTATTAAACACTGCTGAATTTAGATTTCCACAGTAAAGTTCTAAGCCACTACACGTATGGATACTTTGTAAATACACCATATGGAGACTTTGTAAAGTGGTTGACTGCATTAGAAGCCAGCGTCATGTTCTTTTGCAGATTCTAGTTCTTATAATGAAAATAATTTGTTTAAGACCTTTTTGTGAATTAATCTAGTATGGTGAACTAGCTATCGGCTCATCGGACGGATAGTGGCAACAGTCGTCTATAACCATGTACCACACCGTGAACATCATAGAATACACTGTGCTTCCCACAGTACTTCTTACACGTTACCATTTCTGAGGATCCGTGCTCTGCTCCTGTATCCTGTAACTGACATAAGGAGTGTCGGTTAAATAAAACTATATTTTTCCTCTATTTTTATATATTCATCCAGACAACGGTACACTGTGACATTAACGAACTTAAACATTAAAGAATTCAATTGAGAAGTTACTACACATGATTGAACGGCCACTAAACAGTGTCCATATTGTTAATCGGATACTGTTAACTACATGCATTTAACTGTTACATTGAGGAATACACCGATTTTGATAATATTGTACTCGACATAAACACCGAGAATAAATTTATTTACGTATGTCGTCGTCCGAACGATGAAACGTGGCGCCTTCTACGTAAAAATGCTTTACGTATCAGGACGTCAGGATCGTGACCTTAAAACGACCAAAGAATGACGTCGCTGTAAAGTCGTAGACGTCACTACTCTACCTGAGGTGTGCTATATGATTTCAATTTTCAGAAGCAATGAAATCTATTTTAATACACGTACAATAATTACTATTTTAAATACAATTTCGTTATTTGATTTGAAACAAAGAATTTATCAAGGTTTTAGTTAAGTAGTCAAAGGCGATAGAGGCTTTTCTTGAATACCTAGGTATTTAAGGTGATTTGTACAGTATTAAAAAAAATTAGGAAAATGTAAATATTTAATGTAAGCTAAAAATAGATTCGTTGTTATATATTTAATATTAATAGAAACAATATGGAATTGATGTCACGTACAATTGCGTGTGTCGTTGCGTGCATTAAAATGAATGATTTCTCGATTTTCTATTTAGCAAATTACAAGGTTGGTTTCAATCGTTCGGACACGGACAACACAGGTATATTATTATTACAATTACACTTTCTTACAATTAACAAAAGTCTAGTGTTTAAATGTCATTATAACACAGTTATTCTCCAGGAACAGAGGGCACCGAAACAAAATCTTAATAACAATAATTGCATCAGTAACATAATTAACGTTAGACAATAATCGCAGATATAATACATGATAAACTAAAAGGATACACAATGATTTATCATTAACTATCGATTCGTTACCTCGGTTTCGAGTACTGAAATGCAATGGAACAATTAGAAATATACATTATTGTATCGCTATGGACTCTGGTGATTATTCTAGACATGTTCAACATCTCTACACCAATAATTTGAAGATAACTGCACCTTAAATCTATGTTTTTTTTTGTTTATCACCGTGCCATTTGATGCACGGCAACGCAGAGATAACAGAAATATTGGGTATCCAATCGAGTGGCTAATGATATGCAATTGAATGCCATGTTAGAACCGAAAGCAGTATACTGGTAAAACTTATTTAGGTTATAATTGCTGATACCTACCAGATGGCGCTATGTACTTAAAACTAAACAGTCAATAAAATATAGAACATAATACTTTAGTGAAACATTTTTGGTTGACGGACAGACTTTATGGGTAGGTATCAAATTACAATTAATCGTTTATAATTTGAGCCCACTGGTGGCATTACTACTACTTAAAATAAATAATAAAGTAGATATAGGTGATAAAGAACTACAAACATAATGTTGTTCTTTACAATAATTAAATATTTAAAAAAATATTATATATATATATATATATAAATATTATATATATATATATATATATATATATATATATATATATATATATATATATATATATATTTTGTTTATCACAAAACGAAACGAGAATCGAGGAGTGATGTCATGCAGTAGATAAGTCGCGCTGTCGCCTGTGAACACTAATGAATTGTTAACTATTTTTTTAAATTAAATTCTATTTTAATATAAATACCAACCAAAACCGCCTCTGTAGTGTGTATGTATATTATACTTACTATAAGTAAACATTTTACTTAACTATCACGAAAATAACATAGGTACTTATTTATGTAATCTGAATCGTTTATTCTCCAATACAATAAATTAATTAATTGTTTAATTATATAACTACAAAATCCACATTGTGATACAAAAAAATTATGAACCGTACATTATAGGTCAGTTCAAACAAATGGCACATTGCAACGTCTGCATTGTTTCTTAATGATTTTGAATGATCGCTCGTAAAGAAATATAGAATTAATTTTGACGCCGAATAATCAGCTATCGCTTGCCTGTCAGGGTATAACCACATCGGCCGAATATATAATTTATGTATATTTTTTTCTATATAATAGTCATATGTATTTAATTTTATATAATAATTTTGAATTTTTATTATTCTAACATTTTTATAGTTTTAAGCACATTCACTGCGGTCGACGGGCGCGTGGCGCGGCGTGGCCCTGCGTGGCCCGGCGTGGTCCGACGTGTCCGGCGTGGCGTAGGCACACGCTCGCTTGCTAAACTCCGCGCCCGTCAGCCGCATCTAGCCGATCATCGCCGCACCCATCCCAACACTTACTGTGGTCAATAATTTGGAAGGCACTTTCTACTTTTTTTCAAAAATTTTAAATTTTAAATTACTTTTTGAACACATTAGCCTAGACTTACACAATAGAAAATATGCGTAGTAACATTTACCAAAATTTACGCAATTCATCCGAAACGTATAGGCCATTATATAACTTTTTTTTTTATTTTAGTTTTCCCTAGATTAAATTTTATTTCCAAAAGGATAGCCAAATAGTTTCAACACTAGATCTGAATTGCAAATGTATTTTTTAATAATTTGGTCTTTTTTATACACTAATCCCAAACTTCAACCGAATAATCCAAATCCCAAATAATAGTGAAGTATCAAGGCCACTTGGAGACTTATTATAATCATTCATGAGCGTGCTTTGCGACGAGTCTATCCCGGGCGTGGGCTGAGCGGCGTGCTGTATCCGCATGTAGCCGTGCATTCACGTGGTCATGCATTCACTCGACTATGAATTCAAGCAGGCGTGCGTTCACGCGATCTTGCATTCTCGCAAGCACGCTTTCAAAGCTCATGATATCACACGAACATCCTTTCACACAGACTTGCATTCAAGTAGGCATCACACACGTATACGTTCCCACCAACACACATTCAGGCGGACACATGGACATGCGAGTACGTACACGCGCCTCCGCCGATGCCCTCCCCCGCCTAAAGTCACAATGTAAGAACGCCAACGTTATGTCCGCCAACAATATCTAAATGGTATACCCTTGCGGCAAGAAGAACCGTACTCTAGTAAATTTCCCGCCGAAACTATTAAACGATACAACTGGAAAGGTCTCGATAAAACAAATTTGTACATATAAACCTTAATGAGAGTTCCTTGTCACGCTGACCGCACCAAAGTGGAGATTCGATTGTGGATCGAGGCTTTAATGACGTCAGCGAGAACCTGATGGTTTCTATTCTACAAATAGTTACATAGCTAATCTAAATTGATTCGTACATACACTAGCTACGCGTAGGTAGTTCAGCAGACGCTCGAATGACGAGCATTCAATGCTTGGCGATTTCAGTGCTACTAAACCTAATGGACTCGATGTCATCTCTTTTTATATTAATAAAACTAAAACAGTGTTCACTGAATACAAATGGGTGCAAATATCTACTTTTTGTATTTATGGATTTTATCAGAAACTACTTATTAACGGAGCAGTGTTTTGGAGTCATCCGAATTTCGTAATGTGCGTGGCCGTCAAGCGTGATTCATTCATCATATGGTCTCATACTAGTATAGTGTATGACTTGTTGTCAAAGGTACAAATACACTTATAAGAAATACGTATGACTCTGAAAATAGTAAACAATAAAATTACAGGAATCCAGGGCTTAAAAATATTGATCTCTTAAACATATTTTTTTATTAAAGAAAGACAAAGTGTCAGATACTAAATCTATTTTACTTAATTTTATTCCAACTGAATGTAGGTAGAAAAGGAGAAAAGGTAAAAATATGTAAAAAGCTAAAATATTGTGTGGCGTGGCACCATTCATTGCTGTCATCCTCCGACCTTTGCCCATTATTTAGGGTCGGAACAGCATGCCTTTGCCTTCTTGATTGACTATTCTGATCGTGTTTCAGTCATGGTGTACCATTAAAATTAACAAAATAATAACGTAATTTTTTTCTCCATGAACTAAAGCATATAAAAATAACATATTTGATTAAAGAACTTAGTGAGGAGACAACTTAGTGGGGATAATGCAGAGAAGTCGATCGAGTCCTGAACATCTAAATTAACCTAACATTTGGAACAATCACTACTGGCTAATGATACAATCTATATTACATTTGGCGACCACTAATGTCTACTCGAATGTGAATCGCTGCACAAATAGTGAACGGTGAGCTGAGACCTGGGGACGCGGGACGCGGGGCCCGAAACACGGGTTGCGCAAGATGCAGGACGCGGGAAGTAAGGCGCGGTACAAATACAGCTCGCGAACCGCGGGGCGTGGGACGCGAGGTACGCGGCGAACCGTGCGAGCGTACCCGCAAGCAACAACGCACATTCACTTAAATTCCTAATAGAGAAAATGACATCGACCTGACGACAAATGAAACGATAGGTATCTATTCGAATACAGCTAAGACTATTAATTTATAATTTTGTCTTACATAATATGTTGGTGAATTACAATGAATAGGTATACCGAACAGTCTTTTGAAATCGGGCCAAATATTTTAATTTTGATCTCCCTACGTTCACAGATGAATCTAAATCGTAACATTTATTAGTTAAGCTTACATTTATGTCTGACATTCTACTTATGAGTAGATAATGCCGGAGTATCGAGTGGGAACGCGTGGCGACGCGCGGCGTGGCGCGTGGTTAGCGCGCGCGTGGGCCGACGCGTGGACTCTCGGTACTCGTGGACCTACCACTTCGCTAATATTAACAAAAATATTTAAACATGTCACTGGAACACATGCATAAACGACAAATGTATACAAAAAATAATAAACTAAAAATATTCTTTCATAATACAAAATTCATAACTAAACAACAAGCATTATATTGCACAGCGAGTCCACTTTAAATAATAATTAAATATGAAATGTGAAATAATGCCGATACGATTCAAATGATTAAATACGTGTGTCGCCTACTCGTGCGACAGCGTAACGTGGCCGTCTGCGTGCGGCCATGGAATGTGCTCGTATACAGACTGCTGACCGCTCGCTATGCTTAGAAGTAGCCGACGGAGTTACGGTTGGGCACGAAGTAGGGATATGCGGGCAGCGGCGGTGGCGGCACGCCAACTTGCGCGTGCGCCGGTGCCGCTCCCGCGGCCTCGCTTCACATGTTCTCTGCGCGCGTTTCCACCACAGGCGGCTCCATTTTCACCGGCACCGGACTTGACAATTCCTTGCCGTTCTTGGCGAGCGATACTGGAGTCTTGGGTGGGCCCATATCAGTAATTTCCGCTACTACATCGCGTTCTCCGTAGCGACTGTCAGGACGCGGCGAAGCAAACGGGCGGAACGGATCAGCTGGCTTGGGGGGCTCGAGAGCGTGGCCCGGTGGTGGGGGCGAGCACAGTGGAGACTCCAGCCCGGCGGAGAGCGGTGACGGCAGTCGCGGCGACTGCAGCGGGAGTGGCGGTAGCCCCAGATGTGGCGGGTGGTCAGGCGGCCTCTGCGCTGCGACCACCATGTTGCACATCTGCCGGCGAAGACCGTGCGCCACCGCGGCGACTGCGGCCGCCGCTGCTGCATTTGGAGATACGCCACCTTCGCGACCGTTCCCACACGCTACGGTTCCATATGCGTTTTGTACTGCCATGCCATCCTGGAACACGCATACGCCGACATACAATAGTTGTCATTGCATAAAAAATACGCAAATTCTGTTCGAATTCTCCGAACCACCACACTGCACGAATAGCTTTCGTACTCATGAAGCAGTGTGTCTGACACAATTGCAAATGAAAGTGCGAGTCCGAAGCGTTCGAGCAGAATTCCAATGAATTACAGTTAAATCTAAAGCGTTCGAGAGCACCGAGCCGGTTGCAATAATTGAAACTCGCAATAGCGTATTCGCATTAGCAGAAAACAAAAGGTAATCGATGAACAATGAATCGCACAGGGGGAATAAGAATAAGGATAAGTTCGGTGTTAAGTTTAATATCGTTTTATGGAGACGTGGAGAGTGGAGTGATGTTCGCGATACTGACCGTGATAGAAGGATAGACAGGTAGGACCTCTTCCTTGATGTGGTGCGCGGCGTGAGGGGTGTGCGTGTCGCGGAAGACGACGGCGCGGATCACGCCGCGGATGTGTTCGTCGGGCCATACGCCCAGCAAGATGCGTTGCGGACGCCCGCGTCCCTTTGGCCTCAAATCTGCAACGACACATAATAGTAAAACGTGAACACGCAAACATTCCGATGTTTAATACTATCGAAGATTACGTTCCAGTTTCAACGGATTGGGCAGGCTGTATGGAGTGACTACATGATGCCCACATAATATATGTATGTAGTACAACAGAATTATATTTTATTTACAATATCAAGACAAGTGTTTAAACTTTTTAATCAATATTAGTTAATATGTATTAGCCATGCATGACAAATTCTTTGTGTAAGTATTAGACGACAGCAAAACTAGAAGTTCTATCGAAATATGAAATTACCTATATCATATGTTGATATACTCCAATCCTTCAAATTTAAGTTACATTTATTGCTTAAAAACAAATGCACAATTCTGTGCCTCTAGTGAGAAAGAGTGTAAGTGAAGTTGTATCCTTTTTCTTTTTTGTCTATTTAAAAAAAAGCAAATTTTTCTCTATCTTTTGTGTAAGCAACATGAAGATATCTTTATAAACAAACGAATTTACGTGTATTCGATACAAAAGACTGAATCCGAATGACATCGGTTACATTTTATAAAAAATAGTACCAAAAGTAACAAGTCACTTGGCACCAAGCGTCAAATATGTTTTTCTATTTCAATTTTATTTCCTTAAACTGATCCCATTCGATTCACGACTTTTTATACGATTAGGTAACGATTTTTATTATGTCATAAAACTTTATTAATTTAACGATTAAAATTATTAGAACCTTTTACACTAAATAGTTTATCTTTAATATTACTGAAAATAGTCATAAATTAGAATCACGTGATAATTTCAATACGTCGAACAGCTTATTTGGTTACAAAACCAACAATTCCATATGAAAAAGGGCAAAAAATATTACGTAATCAATTATTTGAGTTTTTAATTATCATCTAAAATAAGTACAGGAGTTCTTTTTAATAAAATTATTTAGAATCTGCCTCAAAGTAGCGATTTTGGTTTATACCCTTTCTCATTAGAGGTATAAAATTATGTTACATGTAAGTAATGACTTTGGTTAGGGAAATATTATTAAGAAGATAGAGTAAGGAGAAAAAAGATAAATAGATCCTGTTTTAATACTCTGTGTAATATTTTTTTTACACTAGGCACACTTAGTAAGCAATATTGACAATAATACCAATTTTGTGGTATCATTCTCTAAAACTAACTCTTAGGTACGAGTACGGAACCCTAATTAATATTTTAATTTCATAGTTTTGCGAAATTACTATTTTATGCACTATCGATAAACTTAATTTATAATAATTTTGACATAAATATAACATATATATGACATAAGTTCATTTTATAATCTTCAGTATCTTTGCTGTGATATCAAATTGAAGTATTAAGTTGCAGAAAAATTTAAAGGAACGGTGGCGCCATTCTATTAAAACGACTTCAAAATCTATTATTATAATTTGATACTTTGACAAAAACATTATTTAATGGACAAAGCAAATATATCTCATATAATCTTACATATACTTTTCAAATCAGTGCATATTACGGTCTTTAGAATAAAGATTTAGCTGTTATATCAATTGAACTTTTAAATTAATTTAAATTTTAATTAAATTAATTAAATTATTTAAACAAAAAAATTAGAGATAGCTTAAGGAAAATGGCGCATTGGAATCGGCACCACATTGTTTTCTTCTAAGGAAGCCATTTAAATACGAGATATAAAAAATATAAATTGACATAAAAATATTTTATGCTAGATATTCGTTCATTTTATAAAAAATACTTTTTAGATGTTACAAATAGGTAATCCAATTAATAAAACCACTTTTAGATAGTGTATCAAGATAGAACCAGTACATTTTAATTTAGACCTTTAAGAGAACAACTTTAAGTGAAAACTGCATCTAATTTAGTGCAATAGTTTTTGCATGATACCAAAACAAACATAAGAATTTCTAAAAAATATTGTTCTGGTATCTGTTGGTCTTATTGAAACCCCTTATATATTTTTTTCTTAAACACTCCCATGTATAGACATGGTTTAGTTACAATTTTATTATAGTAGTAAGGTATACCATAACCTATTGGTTAGGTATCCCATAATCGTTTACGATTTATGTAAGATATAAAAACAATAAATACACACTATTCTAAACCAATTGGCTAAAGCAGCAATAGTGTAATCATGTCTTTTATCGAAACAAAACAATTTGGATAAAGAGAGAAAGAGAGAGGAAACAAAGAATTAATTGATGTTTTATTATTGTCCTTTTTTTATTAAATTTCAGCAAGATGAATAAATGAGATTGATAACTAAATATGCTAATTATTAAAAAAATATAGTGTTAATTATTAGTCAATATAAATGTATTAATAACTGAATATGGGATAATTGCAATATCCTTGTCTGTATGAACAAACCCCCTTACTCATAAAAACTAAAACATCCATCAAACCTATTTTAACTATTACAATATTTTATCACACTCTTTCAAATAAAAAAAAAAAATAGCACAAAAGACTACAAAAGATGATTGCCTTACAAAAAAACCGACCCCAATCGTGACAAAAAACAGCTATTTTAATTTAAAAACTAAACCATTGAATCGGTTTTTATAAAATTTCTACGGGACCTATCTGTAAGTATATCCTTTCCGATAAGGAAAGAGTTTTCCAAAGGAGTTGATAACTAAGTTACATGAGTTATAAATTATTAGATAACAAACAAATACAATACAACCGAATTGAGAACCTCCTTTTTGAAGTCGGCTGAAAAAGACAAAACTCTTCAACAGCCAAAATAGGTTTATGAATAAAGAGTAAATAATAAGGAATAATGAATATGACGTTTTTATAAATAAAGGGTTAATAATAAGGAATAATGAATATGACGTTTTAATTAATAAAAAAGGTCAGAATGTATGTAGTCTTTTTTTAATATATGTATAGGTTTTTCAAATATTACTTGTTTTACACAAACTATTGTGTTTAAATATTAATTGATAATTGGTTGGATATCAATTTTGTGGTATATTGATTACCTAATTTGTTATCTAAATAGATAGATTCTGTATTTTAGTATATCGGAAACAACATTAAATATACACCTATTAATACAAAATAAATGTCCATTAATTCTAACAAAGCAATTAATTAATATCAAATGCCGCATGTCAAATACATAATAGGAGGTTATCCAATACAATATACATATATACTTATATATACTATATATATATATATATATATATATATATATATATATATATATATATATATATATATATATATATATATATATACATATATATATATATATACTATACACAGTTTCATGCAATTACATACTCATAATAAAAAATCGCTTAGCAAAATTCGCTTTGCACATAATTACACAAGTTATTATATAATTAATGATTATTATTAATACTGATTAAAAATAATACAATTTGTCAGTCCACAGGTCTACGAGGAGGCGTTCACTACGATTTGGGAATGTTGACTCGAATGACTTCTACAATTAACTTCCAAAATTTTTAGTGATAGATTCATCTCGTATACTAAACCCCTTATTCATAAAAACGTCTAAATTCTCATAAACCTATTTTAGCTATTGACGAGTGTCCCTTTCTTTCGCATTAAATTCTCAATTTGAATGATAGCGACAAAACACTATAATAGTTATATTTTAATTATTAGTATTTGGTCGCCGTTTTGATTTGTAGTAAGTACGTTTCAGTTTTTATGAATAAGCGGGTATAAAGATGAAAGATATGATTGTTTGTTTGTAATAGATAAACTTAAAAATTACTTAACCGATTTTTAAAATTCTTTCAACTTTAGAAAGCAACATTATTAACGAGACATATATATATATATATATTTGAAAATTCTATCTATCCCCTATATAGGGGAGGCTTATGTCACAGTTACAAAATGCCACACATGTTAAAAAATGCCACAGTTTAAATTACCAGTTTCTACTTAAGAAGGGAGATGTAAATTTTGATTTAAAAAAACAATAATATGTTTGGACACTATCTATATAATCTATGGGTTTATTAAGGAATTAGTTAGTTATTAAAACAATAATTTAAAAAAGTTTATTACTAGCTTCTTGCCCGTTACTTCGTACGCGTGGATAGTAAAAGTAGGAAAAGAAATACAATAAACTACTTCTAGATAGTGTTTAAAGAAAAAAACATATACCAGATTTTAATTTAGACCGTTAGAAGCACAACTGTGATGACGGCTTCCAATTTTGTGTAGTAGTTTTTGCATGATGCGGGAACAAACATACACACAGACAAACAAACAGATAGAGGGAAACACAAGCAGACAGACAGACAAATTACAATACAGACAGACGGATACAATTGAGACAGACAGACAAAATTTCTGAAAATAATTATTTTGGTCTCTATTGGACTCATTGAGTGAGAGGCTTATTTTTATATCATTTTTTCTTAAATATCTCCTTAAATATTTAAAAAAATTCAACTATTATGGAAGATTTTAACAAATTTTAACTCGTTTATCTTAATGATTTTTTTTATATATTTTTTTTTATACAATTTAGAATGGCAAACAAGCTGACGATCCACCTGATGGAAAGTGGTAACCGTCGCCTATAGACATGAGCTGTATCATGGACATAACAGGGTATACTGTTTCGCCCATAATATCTCCCATGCGTTGCCATTCCTGAGGACTCAGGTGTTGTTCCTCTGTACCCTGTAAATTCAAGCCATATCCCACCCTTCAAACCGTAGACATGGACTGTGTAGCATAGTTCTAAGATTTAAAACTGAACGGTCAGGACACATGAAGAAACGAATGACCCATATGAAAGCAACATTGTTTGTCATTAACAGGAGAGTGTGATGACGAATAAAAATGTAGGCTTATTATAAATAGTATTTAATAAATTAGATAGTATAATTTTTATACTTGGCTCAATTTTGTAAGCAATCTTGTTATACCTTTTATGGTAATAATCATTTAAAGACAAACAAAAAATTGTTATACACAAGAGTACATTGAATTAATGAATATATATGGTTATTTTATGTCATGTTATCTGGACTATTGTTTTTTAGAATATTTACTAAATACGCCAAGTATAACCTTTATATATAAGTATAAAAATTATAACCAATATAGCATTATAAGTGGGCGACCGAGCTTCACTTAATACAATTTAATTATGAAAACGAATTTATCTAAATTTTTAATAATATTTTCTCTTAATACTACACTAAATGTCTAATCTATATTAGGGACGTTCAACTATATCAATTTTTTCTATTAATATTAAACAAATAAAAGAACCCAGTGGACTTGAAACACGGTGACCCGAGAACTGACAAATGTATCGAAATAATCGGCAACAGAAATCAAGTCATTATGAAGCCCAAATGACAATTATGCAACACCAATGTCAAAATCAACGGAGAGCATCCATAACAAAGTGTTGCAATGTCATAATTATCTGTCAATTATCAAAAACGACTGAAGAATTTTCAATGTTTCCGATTGATAATTTAAAAAGCGTTCTGCTCACGAAATAAATCAATAATAAGAAGATGCACTGCATGTAAATCTATCCATAAAACTATTTTGCTTTGAAATTTTTCAAATATTTTTTTTGCCAATAAAATCCAAATTTTCAATGACAATTTAATAACTATATTACTGCATGATTACTGTTTTAGTTCGTACGCAGAGCACGTTTTAAATCAGTTGGAAATATTGAAAACTCTTCAATTGTTTTTGTAAATTGACAGATGATTGTGACTTAATCACACCTCGTAAAGCTAAAGTCATGAACGCTCCTGATCTAAACCTGATGACTGTTGCCTTAGGTAATGTAAAAATCACCAACATACCTGCTCCTCCGTCAGCGCTCGGTCCCAGCATGTTGTGGACTCTATTCGCGTAGAGTACAAATGTGGGATATGGTATGTCGTATTTTCTCGCCGCCTGCGACAGGGACAGCCCCTCCTTCAACACCGAGAAGATGGCTTCGGCCATAGTCTCCGGCCGCCAGGACTTAAGGGGCCCGCGCTCGCGGAATCGTAGGTTATGTACCAGACTCTGATTTGTATTCCAGCATTTCTGCCACATCGACTGAAGTTGGTACTGGTAGCTGTCTGCTGAAAATAGAGAAGATGTGTTTTAATAACAGCGCTGGTCATTATTGCTTCATGAAGGGATTATTAAAAACAAAGTTAAGTTTTGAGTTAACTAAAGTCAGTAACTCTCGTATCAAAGACTGGCGAAGAGACGGTAAATTTTTGTATTGCAATATACATGATTAATGGTAATTCCCATCAGACAGACTTCCCATCAGATAGAATATCAGCTTATTTCCATTTCTATCAATAAAAAAAATATTTCTAATTTTTTAACTGTTGCAGCCAATTCAGAAGGGTCTCGCTATGATGTCTTGAAGTTGGCACAATCATGCTGTATATTCTGATCATTATGTGTCCTGCACAACCAGGACCTATAGTGGTAACAGAGTGGAGTTCACGAAAGCCCCAGAGAAATCTGACATGGTCTTATAAATCAAAATAAAAAAAAAGAAAAATCTGTGATCGACAATCAAAATAACAGAAGTCTGATAATAATATCTGTATTATTTAAAAAAAATAAATGTAAAATATTTTTGAAGGCATTAGAAAGTCATATTTTTGTACCATGCATAAAACATTAATCTATTAAATAATTAATTAAAAATAATAGTAAAATTTAATTAACTGTTGAATCTTATGCTTCTGAAGCTATAAACTGCTTTTTGCATAGAATTTCTAAATATCTGTGATAGTTTAATATCTATTAAATTTTAAATTTTTATAGTTAATTAATGAACCACTTTTTAAATTATTCTTAAACTTAAATTAAGACAAATAATACAGATATTGCATATCCAAAAACATTGTGATACACTCTATTAATTTGTTACATTCAGTTGAGTGTATTTAAACTTATGTGGTATTTCTACCAAAAATATGTCAAATATTAATATTGGCTTCATTGCTATTCTCTGAGCATATTGGATTGGATATGATACATTGAAAGCCGAGCTTACCGTTGGCTTTCGGATAAATTAATAGCGTCATGTAAATTTTAAATTAATACACTTGTATTTTTCTGTATCAACTCTTGACCTTTGTCTTGAGCGCGGGGGCGGGGGCGGGGTACTAATATATCATAACGAGGGCAAATTACTGTTTAATATAATTGTCGGCGATGATATACTTAGACATTGTGGAGTCAATCGGAGAATCTACTTAACGAGAGTAGGAAATGTTTTGTGGTCTTTGCCCGCTACGAATCGAAAAAAATGTACCCATGTCTATTCGATTATTTTAGTCGGGAGAACATCGATAGATTCGATGTTCATTTTTAGTATACTGTCTATGTATCACATAGACGAGGAATATATAATTATTAGAGATATGTTTTTTTAATGGATTAAAAATAAAATATAAAAGAATCATTTATTTTTAATAATATCTCTGAATATAAATAAATAAAGTGACTTACATTACGACGTCATTTCTCTAAACCTGTCTCTTTGTCTAATATTTTAATAAGAAACATAATAAAATAACATTACAATAATTTTGACTGAAATCTATTAGTAAAGTAGTTCATTTTGGTCCTTAAAATAAAGATGTCGCTGTGGTATCAAATTAAAATTTTAAAATTAGAGTTGTGTTTAGAGTAATGGCGCCTCAGAATAGACGCTAATGTTTTGTTTGTGATTCACATATGAAAATTGGTGTAAACATTTAAAATCTTACAAATAACATGCAAGCTTTGAAATAGAAATCGAAAACACTACATACTGACCTCCAGAGGTACCTAGATAGAAACATAAAAACAAAAATGATTAATAGAAAGGATCCGTAAATGAAACTGCATTATATTTTCTTTATTTTTATATATTAAAAATTAAAATGGCAGTCTTCTTGTTTCATTATAAATACAAGTACCCAAAATCAAAGCTAAGTAACCAAAAATCTTACATGAACTATAAAAATAAAAAACGGGAAAATAAGATTTACGTGGACCTACAAGATAAGTGAATACACATCGACATTTACAGCTATTTATTGTAATTACTTAAAAAAAATTAAATAAAGTTTTGATTTAGTATAAAATGGCAAATGTTGATTTGAGCAAATTTATCGCTGATAACTAACTTGGCATTCACACTCTCAAACACATGCACAGTTTGCGATACAACATAGTGTTTTATGTTCGTATTTGTAATAAAAATGAACCACCGGCATAATGAACGGGCGTTTAGCATTTTACGTATTAATATACATTAATTATTTTAGGACAAAAAAAAATCTTATTAATTATGCATACGGCATATTAATGTACGAAACGGTGCCGCCGCTATGCCTTTATCTCAGTTTTATTTGCAATAAGTCAAACCTGAAATATGTTTATTCATGTGGAGATTTCCCAAAATATAGACAACAAAATTTTCCTTATTATTATTATTCTTTAAACATAATCACATAGTTGGCAATTTATTAAAAATAAACCGTTATAGAAATACTAGAATGTATGCTTCAAAATAACAATGATGTACTGAAGAAAATTAAAAATTATTTTTTTAAATATGAAAAAATACGTTTCAATAAATAATACAATCAAATAAATAATTTTGTATATAATTAATATACATCAATAATTAATCAACTATGTATAATCAAATAAATTTAATTTAAAAAATAATAATTCAACGGTGTTATTGTAATAAAATGTGTGTGTGTGTGTGCGTGCGAATAATCATGTAAGTGCGGGGGTGGGAGATGGGGAATATAAATTTTAAAAATAGAACGGCTTGTTAAATGTATTTCGATTTCAGTTTATAGATATAAACATAGAACCTCTATTGTTACCAAACTACTTAATATGTATAAAAAATAAATTGGTCCTTTTGCCACTCGTTAACAAATTCTGTTAACCGCGCAGGTACTATATAATTGCCTTCGGAAATAACACAACAAAGAAAGTACAGACTACTATTATTCAATAAATACCAACTAATTACTTGTAACGGAACGCAGTTGCACCAAGTCGGTATTAGTAAGACAAAAGCAGTCTGTACACAAGTCGGGAACCTATGAATAGGCTATTATATACCTTTGTTATAATATTCATAAAAAAAAAAACCAATTGTACGTACACAACTGTCTGAAAATGTCTTTTACAATTTTGAATTTGGAATACATTAATTAAAAAAAAAAAAAAAAACAAAAGGTAACAATGAAGCAGTATTGTTTAACGTAGTGATCACTTGTTCTGTATCGTATTGTTTAAAAAAGTGACTGAGTTAAGAAGTATTGCAAATTTGTGTGAGACCAATAAACGGTCATGTGGGTCGACACAGGATGCTTATTTAATTATATCACAATAACGTTTATCACCGTCGAAGCATTCAATGAGATGATGGAATAAAAAATGGATTACTTTTTAAATTTATTAGGTTTGAAACTAAAAAAGGTTTGGAAACTATCAAAAATAATTTGTATTTTAAATGAGAAAAAAAAAAATAAGTATGCTTTTATACCAAATTTGTGTGTAAATGAATAAAATTTGTATGTAATGTTACAAATCATAGAGAAATTGCAAGTACAATAGAAACAAAAGTAATTTTATTAATGATCAATATTCCAGTGGTCCAAGTTATGGCAAACATTTACAGTTTTTAATACATGTTAATAAATATCTAGTAACAATATCCATTTATCTATATTCCACTATAAATCAGCAAAATTAAAAAAAAAACACAATAGCATCACTAAACACTTATCGTACGTCACAATTACGTAATCTTATAGTTACGTCACGATACGATATACACGTTTAATATAAAAAAAAAGCAGCTTCATACAAATGCATATAGTTTATTCTAACAATAAAATCTTAACAATATCGTGTGACATTAAAATATAGAAGCTTTAAAAAAGAGAAAAAATATTAAACTAGAAAAATATAACTATTTGAGTAATCTCTTTACGTATGACAGTTATGGAAAAAAACGGAATGGCATAAAATAAGTACAATCATGTAATCCTTACAAAAGCAAATTTTATCTAAGATTCTTTTAAAATTCCAAAACGTTATTAAACGATTAATGATATAAAAAAAAATATTTTAAAACATGAAACTATTATATGTTGCTGGAATTCTTGCCTATTAGGAACATAGTAGAATAAATCAAAAAACTTTTGACTATTATTTATGGTAAAATAAGTACAATATACTTACTCCCTATAATATCACAGGCTAACCGCGAACCTAAAAGGCACATTTGACTAAACAAACACCTGTTTATGTATTTCTCTTTATCTATATTTTACTCTAATGGCATTATGATATCAAAAATAATATTTATAGATACTAGATTTTAATAACACAAGTATAAACCTGTGTTAATTACTCAGTATCAAACTAACTATTGAATATAAAGCAGTTTACATAAACCTTATAATTAAAATCAGGCATCTTAAAAAAACAATCAAACATAGTAAACATATAATAAAAAAGGCATGCAATAAAAAAACAGAAAAAACGGAGAGCTGACATTTGTCATTGTGACAATTTCGGCAATTTAATTTTTTTAATTTTTGAGCACTTATGTACAAGAATGTATACGATATAATAATAGGAACAAATCGTTAGAAATCGTTACAATGACAACCGACAACTGTGCCTGCTCTCTAAATAAAAAGAAAATAAAATCAAAAATGTAATAAAAAATAAGAGTATTTTGTAGACACTAATGATAATTGGGTACATTGCCGATATTCTTTCGAATCGATGTATCATTACATTACGAGTAGTAATCAAATTCGTCATCATTATCAATATATGGACTATTCCCCTTCATTTAGGATCGTAACCTACTTACATTGCTTACCTAATTAGATATTTGAATCTAATAGATCTGTATTCCCACTATGCTATACTGATTACATTATAAACTAAAAATAAAAACTCTTCTGTAAAAAAAGAATATAAAAACAAAAACTCTTTGCTTTATAAAAAATATTTATATAAAAACCAGCTTTGTTAAGTAGTAAGTATGTATATCGATTCAGTCATGAGGGCGAACATATGTTTCATTGCTCACACAATATTTATATTTTGAAGCACATAAAAACTAAGTTATTATTCGATGTGAATTTATTATGAAATGGGATATAGACACCTGACTTTAATTAAATTGTTTCACTTGAATATTAATCGTTTCCAATCGTAGTACTATATTTAGTTAAGAGGCGTGACGGCGGAAAATGACTTTTCGGTACACACAATAGATTACTTAATCACTGTTTCATTTAAAAATACAATTTGGGTCTCATAACACATCCCTGTGGTACACCTTTGGAATTGAGAATGATGACGAATAAAGATGTTATTTTAGATATTTAAAAATCTTCGATATTCGGTTTAGCATTGAGTCTCAACCTCATTCTAATGGTTTTAGGTTTATGCGCACTATGATAGTACAACGACACAATAGAATGCTTTTTACAGAATGCCCACCACCATCTAAATCCAGTTAGACCGATAAATGTGAAACGAGGGTTTCTCATTCGAAGTAATTTCTCTACAAAAGCTATTACTTCGGGGAGAGATTTTTTAGTTCTCCTATTATAAGGTGACACGGTGGTGTCACAACAAAATTCAATAACGGCCTTTTCCTCATGAGGGAGCAAACTTACTTCGTCTAATACCGCCATTCGTTTAGATTTACCTAATATATTATCATACAATGTTCCTTTAGGTATTCTGAAGTATGTAGCAGCTTGGGTGAACCTCATCCTTTGTCCGACGACCGCTTGTATAGCTTCCTGAAGCTGGCTTTGAGTCCACAAGGGCGTTTTCGTCTTGAGCCTATGAGGTTGGCACTCTAACAGATAAAATCAATATATGAAGCATAACTACAATCCATACAACTGATGCAATACTAAATATTAGAGGCGAAAGTGTTCGATATGCAATAAACAGTCGTGAATAAATACACCAAACGACGGCCGACATAAAGGATTGAAATCAATTGCATTTCAAAGTAATTATATACGTTAACCCTAAGGGAAACTCGCTGTATGAAACATAACCCACGTTTGCATATTTAATGAAAATTAATAATTAACTAACATTAAACCTACATTTTGAGCTGTATAAGAATAAAAATAAAAAAAAAAAGAAACGGAATTACCCGCGTCAGTTACATTGCATAAACTGACATGAGTAATATAAATATAGCATTGTTCTGTTACGCGTTGTCACTGACACGACAAAAATCGCAGTTCCTGTGCTAGTGTAATAAAGAGTATATTTTTTCCGCGGTACCTATATTTTTCCCACGGCAATAATACGCTGGTAAACGTCAAATGGTGTACTTATAGTGACTGAGCATGAATAATTAGGTACTGCATCATTATAGTACGGATATGTTACGACATGCACGTTATACACACACTCACACATAAACAAAGCAAAAGTATCATTAAAAGTGATTATTTATGATGTCTTAACATTGTTTGTGCTAATATATTTATAAGTTATTTGTCTATTGAATAGAAGATCACGTATAATAATATACAAATTCTTTTGCACCTATAATTATAATAATTTCATTGTGACAAAGTACTAAAATGTGTATGAATTAGATAAACGAATAAAGAACAAGGAAGTATTGATAAAAGTAAATGAGAGATGACCAATAAAAATAATTTAGAATAGGATAGAATAAATACAGTACCATGTAAAACGATATAATAACGTTGAAAAGAAAGACAGAAGAAAGAGGAGCGAGGGGATGATGGGGAAAATATACAAATGGCATCAGCTTGTACAGAAAGAGTTTAGAGTAATTTAGATAAATCAGTTGCACTGAGAATTATAAACAAAATTAGTCAAAAGGCAAAAGATTTTTATTATATTATTACACGTGATAGTTTGCTTATAGAATGGCTAATAATTTGTAGGAACAATATGCATTATATATAGTGCTTGGCAAGAGAGAAATGTAAAATTTATGCGCATAACAGATAGATTGGATTATAAGAGATCAACTGACCTGCAATAGAAGATGTCGATGCTCCGAGCCATGCATGAGAATTTTCCAATAGCTTTGCCTGTAAACAAAAGAACCAAATGTTATTATTACAAGTAAAAAATGTAATAATAAAAATCTAATAGTTCAAGATTTTCTTGAGATGAAACTTTACAAAACTATAAAATTTTAGTATAATTAACTGTAATTGTACGCTCTAGATTGGTACAGCTTGGCCAGCGATCGTAGAAAATTGATACTGTGTGGGTAGACGCACACTTGTTAAGTCCGAAATTTTTGTGCTCTTAATTTTTTAAATTTTTTAAATATATATAAATATAAATTTCTTTATGTATTAGATTATATTTAATCTGCATTTGGTTGACTCCTGATAAACTCACTCACCAAGTTTTCATCACTTACTTTGCAATGGATACCACAGCTGAACAACTTAAAAAAAGCATGGATGAACTATCATCTGTGTTCAACAGCCGCATGGAAGAATTTGAGAAAGGCGTACAGCAGCAGGCCTCTACTTCGTCAGGTACCACAGTGAAGGGTCTATCTGCCGACTATGCTACATTTAAAACATTTATATGGAAGTGTCTTGGATTACTAAAATCACAGGTGGAGTTGCTTCAACTTGGGCAAGACCGTCTAGATACCCACTCCCGCAGAAAGACCTTGCTTTTCCATGGTGTAAAAGAGATTCCTGGTGAGGACATCTGTAAGAAGCTGTTGGAGGTGTTAACCGACAAAATGAAGTTGAAAGGTATGGGTCCTGATGTTATTGAATCTTGCCACAGACTCGGCTCTAAGAAGGATTCTGCCCGTCCTATTATTGTGCGGTTTGCATCACTGCGGTTTCGATCCATGGTATGGAGGGCTAAAACTATTTTAAAAGGCTCCAAAACATCTATTTCTGAGTTCCTTACAAAAGCACGGCAAGATGTATTTGTTGCGGCTCGTAATCACTTCGGCGTGGGGAAGTGCTGGTCTGCGGATGGCATTATAGTTATTCTTCTGCCTAATAAAGATCGCAAGAAGATAGTTTCAATGGCTGAATTGAAACTGCTAATCGCTGAGTACCCAAAGAACGCGTTATAATTTAGACAGGTTGCAGTATTTTCTATTTTAATACTTTGCTATTTTGTCGGTTTGTCACTGGGCACACTTAACTATTCTCTTATTATTTTTTTTTTTTTTTAGGGTACCTTAAAATATGTTGCTCAATTTCTAAAATTATATTAATTTACCCAACTTGATAGATAATTGTGATCAGTGTTTGATTGTCACTATAGTATTGATAAACAAATTAATCTGAACTCTCATGTCACTGTCAAAGTTACTTATAATAATTGTGGCTATGGTATATATTTAATATACTTTAACATTTCGTTTCTGTATATCACTGATTTGTAGTAGCTATTGTTGTTTAAGTTTAGACTGGGTGCCCGCTATTCTTCAGCTATAGTTGTTTTATATTATATTGTTATAGCTGTTATTTTGTTCGTTATTGTTCATTGTAAAGTGGGTTTAGCCTATCAAGTCAACCTACGCAATTAAGGCAAAAGTAATTAATTTTTGTTATTTTTACAAATATTGCTTTTTTTTTTATAATAAGTTTTTATTTATTTTTTATTTTTATTTAAATTTATTTTTATATATGTCCATAAATGATGATTATTTTTCTTGCTATTCCTCCGATAATTTTGATAGTGCTTCGAGTCATAATTCCTCTTTATCTGATTGCGATCCTCTTGAAGATAAATTGCGGACTGTTTTCGACAATTATTCCAAACAATTTTCCCTTGTACATATAAATGCGCAAAGCATATTAGCTCATTATAATGACCTTCTTACCTCTTTCAGTGCTGGCTTAGTGGATTGTATCTTAGTTTCTGAGACCTGGCTTAAACCATCTCTTCCTTCCACTAGCTGCACAATACCTGGGTATAAACTCTTTCGAAACGATCGCATCACGTCTGGGGGTGGAGGTGTGGGGATTTATCTACGCAACCAAATCTCTGCCGAAGTAGTGTGTACATCGCAACCGCAGTTCTCTGGGTCTCTGGAGTATTTGTTTCTCTCCCTATCTCTCCATCACAAAAGAATCCTACTTGGTGTCTTGTATAGCCCTAATGACAAGATTGATTACTTTAATATCTTGGAAAATACTCTAGATAACTTGGTTCCTCTTTTTGATCATGTTATACTTATGGGTGATCTAAATACATGTCTTTTGAAAAATGACCATAGGACTGGCAAACTTATTGCTTTAACATCAGCCCTTGATCTCCAGGTCTTGCCTATGCCTAAACCTACTCATTACTTCCACAACAGCAGACCTTCCCTTATTGACTTAATCATAGTTTCACAACCAAATTTAGTATTCTCCCATGGACAAATGTGTTCTCCTTTCTCACAGCATGATTTAATTTATCTGTCCTATAAAGTGCGTCCCCCTAAAAACAGGAATAGGACTCATTTACTTCGCGATTTTAAGCATATGGATGTTGAGCGTTTGAGGGAGGATATGGGGAGTATTGATTGGTCTCCCTTGTTGATGGCTTCTTGTATCGACACCATGGTGGGGATATTGAACAGCGAGTTGCTTAAAATTTACAACATTCATGCACCAGTCCGACCGGTACGGATCAAGCATGCTCCTGCTCCTTGGCTTACCCCTATTATTAAGAGAAGTATGGCAAAGCGTGACAGGGCCAAAAGCAGATATAAACATGAGAGATCACAAGTAAACTTTGACACGTATAAAAAACTGCGGAACATCTGTAACAGAATGTGCAGGGATGCCAAACGCCGATACATTCATTCTACTATTCAAAACCTTTCTCAGACCCAAATCTGGAAATTTCTCCAATCACTGGGGGTGGGTAAGTCCTCAGAAAATTGTCAGAGCGGTTTAGATCTCAATGCTCTAAATAATCATTTTTCGTCCTCCTCTGTTACACTCAGTACTGTGACTAAGGCAAATACTATATCATATCTTTCTAATCTTGTCCCACCCGATTGTCCTCCATTCACTTTTAGCTTGGTGACTGTAGATGTTGTCAAGAGAACCATTCGTTCATTATCTACTAAAGCTATCGGTAGCGATAATGTGAGCCTTGATATGATCCTTCCCGTGTTGGATGTTATTTTGCCTGTGCTCACTCACATAATTAACTTTTCTCTCATGCATAATGTCTTCCCATCACAATGGAAAAAGGCTTACGTCATACCACTTCCTAAATCTACTAATCCGACTAGCTTTTCCCAGTACCGTCCCATATCTATTCTTCCCATTCTTTCAAAAGTTTTAGAATCTATAGTTCACAGCCAATTATTTAAATTTCTTTCCACCAACAACCTTTTATGCCCCTTTCAATCGGGCTTCCGACCCTCTCATAGCACTACTGGAGCGCTTCTTAATATTACAGAGGACATACGTCGGGCTATGGATAGCACAAAATTGACTGCAATTGTTTTGTTGGATTTCAGTAATGCTTTCAATTCGGTTGATTTTGATGTTCTCCTTAGCACCCTTCGTGCAGTCAACGTTTCCACTCCAGTTATCGAATGGTTCTCTTGTTTTCTTTTCGGCCGCCAGCAGTGTGTTAGAACCAATGATGGTTTATCGAACTGGGCTTCATTAACTGCTGGCGTGCCTCAAGGCGGTGTACTTTCCCCTTTATTATTTTCTATCTTTATTAATAATATTTCTCGAGTCATTACTTCTCCCTTCCATCTGTATGCGGATGATCTGCAGTTGTATCGTCACTTTATGCTGTCTGAGGTTACACAGGCAACTTCAGCTCTAAACGATGATCTACTGGCTATTCACTCCTGGGCTAAATCATTTGGTCTTATTGTTAATCCAGCCAAATCTCAAGCTATGATTGTCGGTAGTGGCAGGCTGAGGTGTAAGTTGGAATGGTCTCAGATTCCTCCATTGGTATACGAGGGTACTAAGATATCTTATACTGATAAAGTGAAAAACTTAGGACTTATTATGGATAGTACATTGTCGTGGACCTCTCATATTAATGACATTAGTAGACGGATGTACTTTTCATATCACTCTCTCAAACGTCTCCAATACTTTCTCCCTTTCAATACCAAAATTATGCTTGCACAATCTATTCTTCTTCCCATTCTGGATTATGCCGATGTCTGTTTCTTAGATGTGACCGAGGAGCTGCTAAATAAGCTTGAGCGGTTGCAAAATTTAGCGATAAGGTTTATTTTCAGCTTACGAAAATATGATCATGTCTCGGAATACCGCACTCGTTTAAAGTGGCTCCCAATTAGACATCGTCATGAGACACATGTCCTAGCGGTCCTATATAATATCCTTAATAATCCCAATTCTCCTTCCTACCTTCGTTCCCGGTTCCAATTATTACCTCCTCCTTCCAGACCTAGACGTCTTTGTCTGAACCAGTCCAGGGTACTGAAGCTTCCCTGCTGTAAAACCCATTTTATGGGTAACTCATTTGCATATCGTGCTGTACAGCTGTGGAATAAACTTCCCGTGAATATTCAGAATAGCCCGTCTAGCAGTTCCTTCAAAAAAAGATTAAAATCATTTTATCTTTCCAATTTAATTTAAATATAAAAATGATTAGAAGACTGTCATCATTGTGTTCTCTTGTATTTGATATTTATATGTTGTATTTAACGTGTGTATGTATGTGTGTATATGTATGTGTATGTGTATATGTATATATATGTGTATGTGTATGTATGTATATATGTGAATGCATGTGTGTATATATATAATTATTTATAATTTATGTAAATATTTATTTAAATTTCTGTCTTGCACTACTACTGCCCACTCACTACTTCCTATGCCACTGCGTTAGGTTGACTGGAAGAAATCTCTTTTAGAGATAAGTTCGCCTTTGCTAACATTGTTATTAACTTATTGTTGTTACTGTATGTTTTTTGTGCAATAAAGAATATATATAAAATTGAAGCAGTTAGGGTAGACCTTTGTCCAGCAGTGGGATATCAGGGGCTACGATTGATTTATGTCTATGTATTATGTTGTTGCAGTATACAAAACTGCTTCCTACA